GCTGGAGAACCCAGGTAGGCACTAATGGTCGCACTCTCCCGTGAAGACCCGCATCTCCGTTTCCAGTTTGGTCGTGGGGTAGCTGCAGGTTCCCTGCCAGGGCAAGGAGGCCTCTGCTGTCAGAAACCTCGTTCCCATACAGGTAACGCCCGCCCGTGCTCAAGGGGAATGAGCTCGGGCACAAGGGTCTTGAGTTCACATTATCCTGTGGTGTCAGTCAGCGTTTCCAGGCTTCAAAGTCACCCTTGTTGCTCCCTTCTTGAGCCCTTCTGATCTCTGGTGCCCTTTTTTGGTGTCGTATACTTGGATTTCACGCAATGGGTTCACCATTGTGATATAGGGGAGAAACTTTACCTCCCCTCAGGCTAATTGCCCCCAAGTGTGACCCATTTCCACAGCCAAGGAATTATGCAAGTAACATTCACTTACTCTGTTATCTCCCAGCGCCCTGATTCTTTTCGGCGTCCCTCTGGAGTTTCCAGAAAACAGGTCCTCCATCCTGAAAGAGCACAGACTACATTTGTGCTCCTGGATGAATGCCTTCCTGCTTTTGGTGCAGCCAGAAATACTTACTGTTTATAAATAAATGCCACACCAATAGTTATGGACTGCTCTGTGCATCTCCTCTCTTTCCATCGTTTATCACCTTCATTGTTCCTTAGGTCCTCCGAAAGCTTCATCAGCACTGGTTTAATATCTTCTTTCAGATCATTAATCACATTACTAATGAGCATTAGTTTCAGAACAGCATCCTACTAGAAATAATTTCATATTCTGGGGGTCTCTTTTCCCCCTCATTACTTGAAATCCATCAGTGAACTAAAATTTATATTGGCCCTGTTGTTGTCTTAATAATTTTTTTTCTTTTAATTGGGGAATAGTCTTGTGTGGTTAAGTGAGATCCCTTGGGCTCCTGTAACCTTTAACTTTAGATTGCTGCGGTGCCTTTGTTAACCCAACCTGTGATTTAATCGGAAAATACTACAGCTGTCGGACAGGAACAATTTCGAGGAAGTGAGATTGAGGAAAATTATAAAAGCATACAACCATTTTTATTTTAAAATGTATTGCATTTTTGATCTCTTAATGTCAGTTTAGCTGGTTTACAGCTGTGGATATCGCCTCATTTACTGCTTATGAATATTGGCGCAAGGTTATTTCCTCAGTATTCTGCAATGCCTTAAAAAGTACAGTGGAAGGTGCAGAGGGCTTCAGGGTGCCCGCCAGAAGCATTTAAGGTTCCCACTAGCGCTCATGGCTCTTATTTTCACCATAAACTTTCAAATATGGAAAACTGAATACACAACAAACCGACCCCCTTAGGTTTCCAGGCTATCTGCGCGTGGGTAGCGTGCTCTCACCCGAGGATATGCCATCCGCCTTTCTGCCAGTGTTCCCAGCCTCTCTCCACCTCCCCTCAGCCCTTTTAAGCACGGCGCCCACTCTGTCTCCCTCCAGGTGCCCTCCTCGCTCCTTAGCCAGATCCAGAAGTACCACTGAACTGCACTGCTTTGGTGCTTCAGCTAGTCCCGTGTGAAGGTGACAGCTGCAGGAGGAGCGAGAATGGATTTTTGTCTCCATCGGATGGACAAGGATGACCTGGAACCACGCCCGGAACATTTTAAGCAAACACTGTCTGACTTTTGTGCTGGGAACATCCAACCATCTCTTTTCTCCATCCTGCTGGAAGAGCTGTTGCAGACATCTCAGAAGCCTAAGAGACCCATCCCAGGCCTTCCCTTTGCTCTGATCCAGGGACCTTAAGGCACTTTCCAATACTTTTAGGGGGTCTACAGGAAAGATGGGGAGGGACTCTTTATCAAGGAGTGCAGTGAGAGGATGAGGGGTAACAGTTTTAAACCAAAACAGGGTAGATTTAGATTAGGTATCAGGAAGACATTCTTTACTGTGAGGGTTGTGGTGAGACATGGGAACGGGTTGCCCAGAGAATAGACTCCCTGGAAGCGTTCATGGCCAGGTTGGATGGGGCTTTGAGCATCCTGATCTAGTGGAAGGTGTCCCTGCCCATGGCAGGGGGGTTGGACTAGATGACCTTTACAGGTCCCTTCCAGCCCAAACCATTTTGTGATCCTATGGTGGGCCACTTTTAACAGGGAAACATTTCACGTGAAACTATAATTAATGGGAAAAATGAACCAGACATTGGTGCAGTCTCAATGTTGAGGTTAGGGTGGCGGAACAGAGATGGGCTTTCTGATGGCGTGGGGTGATCCTGTTTTCAGGCAGCTCTCTCAGAGCAGCGCTAGCAGACACCGAGTCAGGCACCTGCTTACAGTAACTTATGGTTTCTCAGAGCTTGACAAAGGACAGAGGAAGAGGAGTAAATCATTGGTCGTGTGCACATACTTTTTTGTTGCCTCCGTGCAATTTTTCCGCATGCTCTTCCATTGGATCAATAACCTGCATCAGTAAGTGGATAGTCATCAGACCAGGGCATCGGTGAAAGGGAGAGCCGCAAGCACAGCTCGCACTCACTCAGCAAAGGCACCAGTGGCAGCACACCTACCTCCCGCTGGGGTACGGGTCTGCCCTCCTGCTCCTTGCCTTCGCATTCTCTCCTCTTCTTGAGAGTCCCTCAGGCCACTGATCAAAAAGTTCCATCATGCCCAGGTCAGTGCCAGCCAGCCTGGAGCAGCTGAGGTGGCTTCTTCATCAGAAGCCTGAGCTGCAGGTGAAGAACGGCCTCCCAGGGCTAGAGGAGTCAAGGGAGGTTCCCTTCTTTGGGAAAAAAAAAAACCTCCTGCTCTCCAAAGTCAGAGGTTAATGTACTGTGTCCACCTCGGGGCTGGCGAAGGGAGATCCTCCCAATACACTTCCCCTACTTTCTGGGTTTGGATCTCTCAAACTCTCTCTTGGGCTCCTGTCTCTGCTTCTGTCCTGGTTTCGGCTGGGATAGAGTTAATTTTCTTCATAGTAGCTAGCATAGTGCTGTGTTTTGGATTTAGTACCAGAAGAATGTTGATAACACACTGATGTTTTCAGCTGTAGTGCTCAGACTACTCAAGGACTTTTTGAGCTTCTCCTGCTCGCCCAGGTGCATAACAAGCTGGGAGTACAGCACAGCTAGGACAGCTAACCCAAACTGTCCAAAGAGCTATTCCAGACCATAGAACGGGTGGTGAGCAATTGCATTGTGCATCATTTGTTTTGTATATTCTGTATATTCTGTTATCATTCTCATTATTACTATTATTTTCTCTTATTAAACTGTCTTTATCTCAGCCCTCGGCTCTAACCTTTTATTTTCTTTCCGATTCTCTCCCCCATCCCACTGAGGGAGGGGGGAGTGAGCGAGCGGCTGCGTGGTGCTGAGTTGCCAGCCGGGTTAAACCATGACAGCTTCCCAGCCTTAACACAAGGTCCTCCTCTAACGGAACCTCTTCTCCATCTCCCTAGAGCCTTGTCATGCCTGGAGAAGGCCAAGATCCAGGAAATCACTGTACAGCAGTTAGCAAGGCGCAAGAGGCCGGGTAAATCACACCCCGCCACAGAGAAGAGCATGCAAGGGTCCCAGATCAACCAACAGGGTGCAGAGGCTGAATCCAGATAAAATGATTAGGGATTAGATTGAAATTAGGAATTCCATGCCCAAAGAGGAATGGATCCTCACATCTTAAAGGTCCAAGTTAATCCCCCCCCACACACACACCCATCTCCCTATTCTCTTTCTCAGACATTGCCCCAAAGAATGGCTGGGACTTGGCGGCTGGTTACCATGATGCTGTAAGCACCTTTCTGAGCTTCTCGGTTGGTTCTTCGCTGGATCAAAACACCCAGTCCCACATCTCGCACCAGCTCAAGACTAGCACCGAGATGAGGGCTGCTGTTCCTCCAGTTCCTTCTTTCAAAGTCTGGCAATCCCAGGATGACTTGTCTTCCACTACACCTCGCCCAAGCCCTGCTTTTTTCTGTGTAGCTCCTCCTTCGGCCTTGCTTCTCTTCAGGGCCTGCTTTGACTACGACATCTCCAGAAACTCAGTCAGCTCCCAGGGCAGCTGGCTTATCCCCCTCCAGCACTTGCTTAACTGTCTCAGCCAAGGTCCCTCCCTTCACTCTCCCAGATGCTAGAGACCTCTCCAGCCACACCTGGACGTGGAGCCCTTTGTCACCTGAAGATCACAACTCCTTCTGGGGTTTGCTATGGGACAGAACAGCGCAGGGAAGCAGGGGCAGAGCCCGCCATACTGACAGCTCTGCCTTGCGCTTCCTCGAAGGGTGAAACACATGCAAACTCTGGCCAAAGCTTTCAGGGGCTGGATTCTGCACCCTTTTTTCAGGGCAAGATAGTCAGTCCTCAGCAACACGTCTGTCCCTCTGTTGATGCCCATATGTACCACGTGGGGATACATGGCAGGATCCCGGCACACCGCTTCTGAGCGCAAGCTGTGCATCGATTCCCTGCCTTCTGTTCCAAATGAGCTGATGAAAAGGTGTGTGCGTAGGGGTGCGTGCTGGAGCAGGAAACTGGCCCAAGAGCCCAGGAGATCTTCCCTGGCCCCGTATTCCTAATGCCTCCCAAGTTTCACCCAATACTGAAGAAGTTAAGAAAAACTCCTTCGTAATGACGTCAGCCTCAGCTGTAGAGAAATAATGAGAAAATAATGGAAATATTCCCTGGCCGTGCCGGAACCTCAGAGGCCCAACTCAGGGTTGCACAGATGACCAGGCAGCCAGGAAGACCAACCAATCTCCCCCGAGTCCACAGCAAAACTACAGCAATGGAAGGACATGGTGGGTTCTTGGGTCTTCTTTCATAACTTCCAAGTTGAGCGTTATCTCACTCTGTAACTATACGAGATGGCTATAAGGCTATTTCCTCTAAGAAAATAAAACCTTAGAATTAACCACCACATTTCTCCCTCAGCCATTTCCCAAGGATATGAAAGAGGTTACTCAGTTCCACAGCAGGCACAACTAGGTCAGTTGAAGGTAAAGACTGATCCAACAATTCTTGTTACAGTTTGTTTCTTTATTCAGTAAACATCTAGTTACAAGTTTCACAAATTAAAAAAGTGGGGGAGCTGATCGAAGAGGGGTTGGGGGGGGCCCACAGGCTGATCCAGCTTTTGTTCTGCTCCTCCCTTCTCTAACGCACACATCCTTCTGCTTCTCCATAGCCACGCCGAGGAGCAGGAGGGGAATCGAAGCCTCTGTCCCAGCGAGGGGACCGACACGGGGTTCTAGCACAATTCCCTCATCTTTCCTTCACAGGGGACTAAACACAAACTTCAGAACCAGCCCAACCCAGCACAGAAAGAGCGGAAAGGATGGAAGAGGCGAGGTGGCAGCTCCTCATGCCCACCACTACTGGCAGAAAGAACAGAACCAAGGGAGAGCAGAAAGGGAATGGGCATTTAATGTGTTCCTTGCACATCAGTGAGATTCCCCACGCCCCACTACAGCACCCAAACGGGGCAAAAAAGAGCAATGCAGAAGATTAGTTGCTTTGTTTTCAATTCTTAAGTGGGAGGGAGGTTAATACTAAATTTGAGGAGGGTCCAAGTGGTGCTTTGAAAGGGCTTCAGAGTTTCACTGTCTGTACCTGGGAGGAAGGGAAACAGAGAAAATCAAAAGAGTAAGTGGTGACCAGAAAGCAGCACAGAAGACAGATAAAGAAGTGTTTAAACCTCATGTCTAGACATCAAAAAACAGGCAAAAAGTCCCTTTGCAAGCACTAGGTCACATCCTAGTGAACCCTACTAAAAACACAGGAGAGCAGACACCAGCACTTAACTTACATTTCAAACGGGATTGACAGCACATGGTCTCCAAGTTCCATACAATGACAGTATAAACACTCTACAGATGCAATCCTACCTCATTTCATACCGTTTCAACCATCGGTTAAGGCTGACACCACACTTTTTTGTTGGTGAGAAAGCTAACAGCTTCCACCTTCCCATTCAGAACAGCATTTCCTCAATACTCCTACCTCCCCTTGCTCTCTGGATTAAATGGGAAAACCCTTTTCCAACCAACACTGCAAAACAATGTAAGACTGGGGCAATGGAAAAAAAAGATCACATGGCTAAGAGGCAACCGCACACAGGAAGATGAGGAAAAATAAACTTACAAAGACTTACAAGAGCGTGTAGGTAGATTTGGGGGTGGCCACGCTGCACCCCCCACAAGGTCTGCTCCGAGTTCACCAGTCATACCGACGGGACTGTCTGGAGGGAGAATCCTCAGGGCCCTGGATTGCAAGGCGAGTCCCTTCAGCCCGACGGCCACTGCTGCCTTCATGACGTCTGTAATCCAGCCCTCGCTGTGGCCGGAAACGGGACGTCTCTCGCCTCCACTCATCATCAAATGCAGCTGCATCACCTATGTAAGGAAAGAACAAGCTCAGACGGGGAGGAGGTGGGAACGCGGCACCTGGGTTTGCCAGGAGGAGGACATGGACAGTACTCACTTTCGTCCATGTTGATGTAGTCCTGCCTTTCCTCCTGGTCACCCGTGCGATGGTTCCGGGACCGCTGCATGATGTGGGCCCGCTCCCTGATGTGGTGTCCAATCGACATTTGTTCCAAGCCGCTGTCCGAGTCCCTTACGGTCCGCCTTGTCTCACGGATCTGAGGGCAGATTCCCATGTAGGATCAACAGTTTAATTCATTCTCCCCATAAGGCACCCCGATTCCTGCCTGCAGCGTTTCAGTCATGCTGCACTGCCACCACTCCCAGGATCTCAGACACAACGTAACTATAAGGGAAAAATGGATTCCCGCCCTGCCAGCGCTTCCCATCCCCTCCCAGTGGCCCCCAGCATGGTTCAGTGAGTCACAACGCGTTCCTTGAACTGCAACTGACTGCAAAGCAGAAGTGCTGTGGGTGGCCAGCACTGAGCCACCAAACGAAGTCTAACCACCCACAGCAAAGCCAGCAGCTTCGTGCTGGGAAAATGCACTGCAGCCTCCTCCTTACCCCACCAGGTGCTGAGCGCATCTCTGAGGTCTCTTGATAGACTTTGGGTCCATCACCCAGGTTGGAATAGGAGATGACAGTTGAGGAGGTAAATGTCTGGCAGTTAGCACCACTTGTCATATGCTCCTGCAAGAAGAAATGGGGAATGGTGTAAAGAAGGAATGGGAGGGAAGAAGAGACGGCAGTTAATTCTCTCTATATACAACAAAGCAGGAAGATATTACAACTGGAAGAACATAATCCCCATAGGTCCATGTTCCTGGAGAATGCATCTTCCTGTTAAATTAATTCTTGTTTCTTGCTAAACAAGTCTACCCCCCACACTTCCTTCCTCAGCCATCTCTCCTCCCTGCCCTCAGTGGGTACGCTTCAGGAGCACGCTCTCCATCACTCCGTGTCAGTCAGCAAGCAAAGCTTACAGCCTCTGCCCCCTCAGCAGCTTGAGCAGAGCCAATACCAAAGAAGCACGGTAAGATGGGAGACCTCAGAGAGGATGGCAAGAGCATCCTCAGCGCTCCCCTCGACAGGATGACTTATGGAGGGTTCTTACCATGTTTCCAATCATGTCGTTCATCATCCCAAACATATCTATAAAGCCACCTGCCTGATAAAAAGGAAAAGAGAACACAAGAATAGTCAGTTTGGAAAGATACGGGAGGAAAGACCAACCAACTATCTGCAAGGGACAAAAGACTGCTGCCTAAGAAGAAAAAACTTGTTCTTCTCCTTTTCTTTCAGTAGCGCAGAAAAAAGACAGGATTTGGGGGCTGCTCTTCTCTCCATTCTCTCAGGTTGCATTGCCCAAGTGTTCTGGCTCTCCAGATCTCCAGATACAGCAAAGGTTGCTCTTTTAGTTTGGGTCTGGCTCCCAGAGCACTGGGGTTTCTGAGTGCAGGCACTCGGCGAAGCTAAGAGAAGAAATCTCAGGTATGCACTTCCAGTGATCTTAACCATAAGACAGTCATCCTTGATGATGTTTTCACCTCATCACACTCAACTCTTAATTTAAACCACCAGGAAGTTTCCGTTGATTGTATTCTTTCTAACATAATAACAACTTTTCTTATTTTCCCTACCAACACCTGACTTTTTAATCTTGTAAACTTAAAGGCTGCAGTAATATACTGGGCCAGCAGGTCCCACGGGTTAATTGTGCAATATGTAAACAAAATTACTATGTCAGTTTAAACCTGCTGATTTTTTTGTTTCCTCAAGTAGCCTCTTGTTCTCCTTTCCAGCAAAGCAGTGCTCACGCGCAATGCTATTATCCTCTGAAGTCTATCTGTTTGCATTCTTATTAACCCTTCTCTGAGCTACAACAGTTCCAGGATGCTCAGTCTCTTTCACCGAGGCAATCCTGCAGAGCAAAGCAGCTGAAGTTGTTGGATCTGGAATAACCTATTTCCACCATATCATTTTAGTAGTTCTCACATACACATGGCCATTCTCATTCCAGTCCTATTCACCTGAAGTATTCTGTTGGCTTTTCCATCTGCCACCACTGGCAAAGGAGGTTCAATAATCACCTCTGCCTACTGAGAGCTAAGTCTTTTCCCTGCCTTGTCACGGTTCTTCCATTACCTCCAAACAGATCTGCAGCTTCTTTTCAGACATATGAGGTTATTAAGAGACTATCTGCTCTTCCTGGATATTAACTGTCCCAATTCCTGTGAAATATTGCGCTGTAACAGCTTTAGGGCTCTTCTCTGGTCAAGGTGCAAATACAACCTCCCCAAACAAACAGAGTTAGAATCTCTCCTCTAAACCAGCTCACAGACAAGATCAAAACATTAGAGGGGAAACAAGGGAAAGGCCTGAAGTCATATAGCAACTCAATGAGAGAGGTCCAAGAGAAACCAGCTGCCTCCAGTTTCAGTTCAACACCCTCTTCCGTATTCTGTTTACTATAAATCTAGAGCTCATTCTTCACACCTTCCCACCCTCACCACCCCTTAGGATAGATGGTCTTGCTCACAGATGGCTACATCTTAGTACCGGTTGCACACAGCGCTGATGAATCTCAGTGTGGAGCCACTACTTGGAAAGTCTCTAATTTGACGCAGAAAAACAGAGAACTTACCATGCCGAGCATCCCAAAGGGTGAAACAGCTCCTGCCTGCCGGGACAACAGAAAAAACAGAACAGAGGATGACCCTGCAACAGCCAAACACTAGATCCTCCTCAGAACACCCACATCCATCTCAGAAACAGAACTGGGAACACTCAGGCCCAACAAACAGGTCAAGAAAGTGCCCCACAGGCTCATGGTGGTTCAAACCATATCACCCCTAACAAACCAGACAGAAGGCGATGCTCCTAAGTTTCTCCCAGTTACATTGATTTATGTCCTTGAGAAATAACAAGTATTTCTTCCCTTCCTCCCATTCAACCCAGAACACAGTTGTGTTCAATGTATCAATGCACGTGGAGTAAAGAAAAGGACAAGACCACCACTGCTTTAGAGATTAATTCTGTGCCCACCATCCCTGAGAAGGTGAGGGGTGTGCCCAGCCCAGTAACAGCAGAAGACAGAAGCTAACAGGCAGTTTATGAAATCCTATCCTGTACTTTTACCTGCATCCTGCGGCCAGCCTGGCGAGCCCCAGGTGTGGTCCCATCCGTGATGCCAAGGAGTGGGCCAAACCCAAAACTTCCAGAAAGCATGCGGTTCATGTGCTGCCGGTGGATGGCAAAAGGGTCCCTTTTGGAAAGGTTGAGAGAACAATGGTGAGGAAGGGATGACAGATGACAAAGCCCCACATAATCTGCCCATTCTGACTTTCTCTTATGTAACTGTACATTCCTTTCCAAGCTGAAAATCCAGAATCCCAAGAATTCAGAGTTGCTTATGGTGATCCTTGGGGCGGGAAGGGACCTCTGGATCCCATCTTATGTCTTGTAACAGAAGGTATTAAGCACAGAGTGCCTCTCAGGCACTAACTGATGTCTGTTCAGAAGCAGTTTGGTGTTCTGGTCCCACTAATGCTTTAGAGCCAAGCATGGCCAAGGCCATTCCAGAACCTCACTGCTCTAACAGATGAAAGCCACTTCTCAGGTCTGCAGTCCATGTACCACCATCATTTCATACTCATTCCCTCTGGTGCCACCAAAACCCTTTACATTAACAGCTCTGTGAAACAATCAAACCTTTCTAGAAGAGCAGTTCTTAATTTTGCAGGGAGGTGCACAAAGACCATCCTGGCTGCAAAGAGAAGACTACACTTAATGGGACAAGAGAGCACATGATCCTAGATAACGTCCTCTCACCCCTCCACAACACACGCACAAATGCACTCAAATGCAAGACTGAAACCTCCAGAATGGGCTGTGTATGCCCTGACACTGTGTGACGTCCCTCCGCCCCAAGTAATCTTCATCTGCTGTTTTCCTACAGGGCTATATGTACACCTGCCAAGAGGATCCGTGATGCCAAGGAGTGGGCCAAACCCAAAACTTCCAGAAAGCATGCGGTTCATGTGCTGCCGGTGGATGGCAAAAGGGTCCCTTTTGGAAAGGTTGAGAGAACAATGGTGAGGAAGGGATGACAGATGACAAAGCCCCACATAATCTGCCCATTCTGACTTTCTCTTATGTAACTGTACATTCCTTTCCAAGCTGAAAATCCAGAATCCCAAGAATTCAGAGTTGCTTATGGTGATCCTTGGGGCGGGAAGGGACCTCTGGATCCCATCTTATGTCTTGTAACAGAAGGTATTAAGCACAGAGTGCCTCTCAGGCACTAACTGATGTCTGTTCAGAAGCAGTTTGGTGTTCTGGTCCCACTAATGCTTTAGAGCCAAGCATGGCCAAGGCCATTCCAGAACCTCACTGCTCTAACAGATGAAAGCCACTTCTCAGGTCTGCAGTCCATGTACCACCATCATTTCATACTCATTCCCTCTGGTGCCACCAAAACCCTTTACATTAACAGCTCTGTGAAACAATCAAACCTTTCTAGAAGAGCAGTTCTTAATTTTGCAGGGAGGTGCACAAAGACCATCCTGGCTGCAAAGAGAAGACTACACTTAATGGGACAAGAGAGCACATGATCCTAGATAACGTCCTCTCACCCCTCCACAACACACGCACAAATGCACTCAAATGCAAGACTGAAACCTCCAGAATGGGCTGTGTATGCCCTGACACTGTGTGACGTCCCTCCGCCCCAAGTAATCTTCATCTGCTGTTTTCCTACAGGGCTATATGTACACCTGCCAAGAGGTTGAGACCGCATACAGCTTTTTCAGATTTGAGAGGGAAAGGGAATAATAACTGGGGTCCCTAACTGGTTTTCCTTCCTTTCTTTCTTTTGCAGCCTTCACTTTGAGGGCTGTATGCATTCAGATGTGCTGGAGGAGCAAGGAGAGAAAAAGGAGAATAAGGACAAATGGCCACAGAAGACAGCAGCCACAGCAAAAAAAGTCTGGGAAATACCATAGCATTGCTCTGCACATCTCGTAGTCTGTGCTTATCCCTCGAGTGTGAATAACCTCAACAGCATATAATATTCCTGAGATCACAAAAGCACCTACTACAAACCAATACTTTCCTGTCTCTACTGGAAATGCTTCCCATAATAAAAGCTAGACTCATACCTACCACATCAATGAGAACACAGAGTAATTCTGTGACTAACTGGGACATCAAGGCCTCCTCTCCTGATGGTTTGTTTGCAGCTGATAAAATTCTTGCTAATTACCAATTTTATAAGCAAAAACTGGACATTATCCTTCTACATAAATTAATTCCACCAAATTTCTACTAGTGCCACGCTTAACATAATCAAATTCTTACTGTATTACAGTCTATTCCTTATCCGCTTTGGCAAGGACTGCCAACTTAGTTTCACTGCCAAAATTTATCAATAGCATCCAATTTCTGGACTGTGGACAGAAACAAAAACATTCAGCAAAAGGAATCCCAGGAAGAGTTCTTGGGACCTTTGTTAGATTTGAAGACTCATATTTCAAAACTACTTGTTTGTTGTCTTCTCTTTACGTAGTTCCTTACAACTTGACAACTGCTTTAGCAGTCTTCTCCAGCCCCGTTAATGATTTCCGGTGCAGAACAGCAACAAACACTGGATGGAACAGTAGATTTTATCTATCTGAACCGAAACCCTCCTTTGCGTAAGGAAAAAAAAAAACCCTTACGCAAAGACAAAGATGAGGTATTCCAGCCCTCTCTCCCTCAGACACTTACAATGCCTCCTGGCCTACTTTATTTAATTACGCTTTCCTCCAAGCCCATGCTCGCATATGACAGAAATCAGACCAACGCGATCCAGGTTATTCCCCGCGCTGCCCCTGAAGAGGACGCTTGTCTTTTTCGCCAGACAGCTGCTGCGCTGCGGTATTTCCCGCAGCCCGGCCGGCCCTCTGCCCGCCTATTCG